GCAACTTTGACTTCAAATTGTAGAACCTGTTCCCACATGAAAAAACGCGTAAACTGACCGCAGACAGTCAAACAAAGTCAAAGATCATCAAAGCATTAATCGTCGACATTCTCCGTCTCCCGTCATTAGTGAGTCGAGCCTGGGCGAAAGGTCGAAAGGACAGTTGCGTTTGGAATCGTGGCTTTACGGTTTCATTTGAGCCTAATTCAGTTTTCAGGAGCGTTTTTCATCAAACGCCACCGACCCGGTTTATCAACAAAAGCTGGAGGAGTTCATTATTATTCTCGATTCTATGAGGTTTGAAACACTGGGTCCCCTTTATCCATCGTATCAAGATCGAAAGAAGACATATGTCGCGAGATGTTAACATTTCGTTTAATCTTCTCAATCGCTGACGTAAAACAAACAAGCACNGTGCTTGTTTGTTTTACGTCAGCGATTGAGAAGATTAAACGAAATGTTAACATCTCGCGACATATGTCTTCTTTCGATCTTGATACGATTCTATGAGGGTTTGCACAAATCAGTGACAGTTAACTTTTACTTGGTAACGCTTATTTTTATGCATGCAGATTACCCATTGTGTTTGCTGTTGTCTGTAACTGTAGAGGTACAGTAAAATGATTCGTTAGTTCAGTCGTGTCACGCACCAATTGTGTGCCCTGTTCCATTTGACCTCGGAGACGGCCCATCCAGTTCCTCCTTTGTTTAACCTCGAGCTAATTCATGTGCATCTGTAGCTGAATTGTGAACATACACCAAACATTGTCCAGGCAAAATCCCTTTGAGTCTCAGTTGATTTATCCCCTAAATTATAACAGAAACAAGGATGACAATGGACACTTTTGTATTTCAGATGTGTGCCATATGCATGTTAATTTTTTCCTGGGTCTTACACACAAATCTCAGTAAAAGAAATATCTATAACCGGAACACTGATTGATCTCCACGATGAAACGAAATTCTGGCCGCTGAAACCGTATGGCATAATCGCAATTCTCTTTAGTCTATCATCTCACAACAGTAGACCCAAAGTTTCTGGGTGACCTCTAATAATTTCTCGACTGGCATTGACCGACACATGTCACAGAAATGCAACTGCTCAGAGCGACTAATCACCCTTATCCCAACGATGTTTCGGTTGTTGATTAAAAGTACCACAACTTACCTAACTGATAATTTGTTCACGTGTAGCAAAATTTCGTATTTACACTCTCCCTATCTCTCTCTCTGTCTCTGGGGTCACATGCTCTTGTCACAACCTTACTTATACATTTACTCAAACCAGACAACAAGTGACTTGAATCCATGAGAATTCCGATTCACCTGGTAACATTAACTATTCAGGAAATGAAATATTTTCCAATTTCAAAAGAGATCCATGATACACATCGAGGAAACGGTGTTGACAAAGTGACATGCAAGATACCTATACACAACGAGCAGTTTTCAAATATGACTACTCGGTGTCATTGTCCCGGCCTCCTTAGAACATACGTGGCATAAGAATTAATACCTTCCAAAGCGGAGTTCAACGACTAGTTTCAAGGATGTGATGCAAATAAATACGGAGAGTGAAAAATCCATTAAACTTTGTGAGTCTGAGGTGAAAGTGGTAGAATAATTCTTCACGTCTCAACTGGAATCATTGTATGGGTTTTTTCATTGCAAAAATCTTCAAACCTAAATCATCTAAAACACCAAATATTTGTAAACCTAGACGAAAATTGATCACAGCCTAAGAAATTGAATGCTTCCACTACGTATGAAAACAACTCGAAAAATTCCGGTTAATTTCGATTCCAAGTAAATGCATATCAAAACAATTTTTTGTCTTAGGCTCAATGAGTTCAACGTTTAAGCCCGAAAATTTACATCCAACCGTCCTAAGGATTTGGAAAACGTGACATGAGAGATTTTATTGGGTGAGTAATTGTAAATCATTGGTTTTTTTGCCCATATCCAAGATTCTAGAGGAGCGCCTCGACAGTTAGGGTACGAAATTTCGCACGTTCATCAATAGTTTATTCTACTCAGTTCCAATAGACCGACTGTCATTGTGAATGAACACCACCGTTCACGCCGCGTGGGGTGTGTTAGGGCAAGCGATCAAACAATACTGAGGTTAGGTTTAGAGCTTTGAGCTACCAAGGGTCGTCCAATGGGGTAAGTGCTCGACCTTCGTACATATGCGTCACATACGTCACCAGGTAGATCCTCACAGCTGGCGATGGTCACGGAGTCAGTTGTTGGGTAGAAAAGGTGTCCAGGGTAACAAAATAAGACGTAACAGGAGGGTAGGAAAACCCTAATCAGAAGGCTTGCTCACATAGACCGCGTTGGGCTTCTTGGGTGGAAACCTCGGGGTGATTATCACCGAGGGTTACAAACGTTGCATGAAGTATCCGTATCTTATAGTCAGCGACCCTCATGCATCCGCTCATTGTCCTCGCAACCTTGGTTTACATCAGGCCTCCACGTTCACCTCCACATTGCCTTCAACATTCCAATCCTAACTCCTTAAGTTTCAATCAAATATGCAGCCAAAAGGCAGCAACCATAACTGCAGCACTGAAGTGAATGGTTGATCATGGTATCAAGTAAAACTGAAAACTGATTCACGGTAACAGATGCTACATCGAAAGCTTAGAATGTTATCGCTGCCACAAAAAATGAAAAATAAACGATTTTTCATCACGAGACCCTGATTTTTACAGACATGTCTTCACGAGAATGGCGGTAAAAAATAGTGGTAATGCCACAATTCACCATCTCAAACATTTGACTTCCCGCTTAACAAATGCTCAATCTGAACTGATGTAATCGTGCATACTCGGCATAGTGACCCTTCCTGTTTAAAAGCATCAGTTGATTTGGAAAGGCTTGGACAAATGCAGTATCCAGCCTTGCTCCTAATTGTCAGGTGAATTACTGAATTACTGACGGCCACTCTCGCACCATATTCCACTCCAGTTATGAGATTTATCTTTATATGACCGCACCAAAAGTTTGGTCGATAAATTCCCTGCCCCTGTGTGCCCAAAAGAGGACCAAGTTTCCTCACGCGAAAGACTTCTGACCCATAAACTTTATTTGTTGATAGGTAGCCTGAGGCAGAAAATTCTGCAGAGTGAAATTATTTCAATACGAACAGCTATTGCTCTCTTCAGGTGTTTCCTCACGGAAGAAACAAAGACATATTGTTGATGAAAACTAGCTCGTTTTTCAGGCACTATGCTCCTAACTCACATCGAATACGTACACCGTTCATCGTGAGGAAGAAGTCCATTTCAAGCTACGCTTAGAACTTGATACAGTTTTTTTTCTAATTTGTGTTAAGGCTCAATCCACACTGATTTGTGGTCTACTGAACAGATAACCACATGGTCCGCTTCAAGAAGACAAAGGACTAGTAGGGATTGAACGTTGAAGAAATCAGTTGATAACCATTTGCGTCCAATCCGTGATATACAGTGCTGGTTGGGGCAAGACTTGATCGATTACTCTTTTTCGAAAGCTCAATGCAGTTGAAAACGGGTTATCCTAATTCCCTAAATGTTGAAAAGGTTGGAGACTAAGGTATTTACTTCCTGGACGATGCGAAATGGCACCAGCTAACGGTAACCATTTCTAATTGATGAGTATGTGGTCCTTCTTTTATTTACAGTGACTAGCATTAAAACCTGTGAAAAATGTACGGAAAGGGGTCGATCCAATGCGCAGACCAAGGAACATGAGTGATAATTTCTATTTTGATCAATCAATTAACTCGTGAGAATTCCAAAATATGAAAATGCGTATAAACGAACCGATCAATCAGAAACTTCCACATTACACTTGCCGACTGAATGAAACTCGATAAATAGTTAAGCTGAACTAAACCGAAA